ACGATAATAGTTCTGAAAATATAGTAGCTGTTAGGGTAGAGTTTCAACTTGGCTTCAGGATCGCGTGCTCCCACAATTGATGACACACTTCCAGGTATATCTTTGTGGGTCATGGAGGCATGACCGTGGGATGTTTATCTGGTCCCTCCACACCTCTACTCTGATAATGTTCTCGTGCTTTGCTTCCCAGCCACCATGTAAGCAGCTTTGCTCCTCCACAGACTTCCAAATAACGTCTCTGTTTTATAATCTCCTTGTCTATAAAAGTTTGTTTATATTATCATATATAATAAAATCCATTAAGATACAGCCTGTTAAGACTGTTGGAGACAGAAGAATAAAAGCTTGATGGGACTTCAAAACAAGATGATACTAAATCAGCACTAGCTATTATGATGTCTTGTTTTCTCCAAAACGTCTCTGTTTTAGAACAAGCTGATGATATACTTGAAACCATGAACAAATTAAAGCTGTTCACCTTTTAAGTTGTGGTTATTTGCGTATTGTGTCTCAGCAATGAGAAGGCTAATACAGAAAATTCGTAGTGAGAATGGAGTTTTTACTGTGACTATTCCTGATTATATTGTTCATAAGCCTTTAGAACTGGTTTACAAGAGAAGTTTAGAGATGTGTACTAGAGAAGTCCTAGAACATTGTGAATAGTGTTGATGGGCAGTAATGGTCAGAGCTCAGAAGACCAGACTGCTAATAGGAATGTGGCCAGTTAAGGCCAGAACGAAGAGGTTTCAGACTCTCTTGGCAGGTGGACTAGAGGTCATGTGTGTTATACTCTGTCAGAAGATTTGTCTACATTTTGCCCATGCTCTGAAACTTTCCAAGAGTCCATGTCATGGGTACTCCTGGCTACTTTTAGTCAGATTATGAGAATCAGAGACAAAAGTCAGAGCAAAAAAACTTGAAAAAGTTAAATTTTTATGACAAAAGAAACCAAATATAAAGTTGGAGTCAAAGGTGTTATGGCTGCTGAAGAGATTGGTGTGCCATTAAAAAGAAACTAAGTACTTTACACAGGAACAAGAAAAAAAAATTACCTTGAGACCATTTCAAGGATTGGTAAGACCTTACTCACCACACCCCTAAGAGTATAAAAAGAGTATAAAAATGTCAACCTTTCACTTTAGAAAGAGTCCCTGGTGCTCTGGTTTGAGAAGAGCTGCCTAGGGAATTGATTCTGTAGGAGTCTTTTCACTGTTCTCAGCCTTCCAGGCACTCAGGGCTGCTTGGACACTGCTACTGCCATGACCCAAGGGGACTTGACTCCTGCTCCTGCTGACAGCAGGCCTAGGGAGCAACCAGTGTTGCTGGGGGTTTACTGGCATGCAGAATGTAAGGGTTGTAGGTCAGTGAGGCTTCCACCCACATTTCAGAGGAAGGCCTGGGAGGGCAGTCCATGAAACTGAGATTGCAGTGGAGACCCCAGGATTACAGAGATGACAAAAATGTGCAACATCTGCTAAGGAAAGTTGTGGGCCATGAGTGAAATGAGCTCAACAGAAAGGTTGTGTGGGCTATAATTGGCAGTCGTAGGGATAAGTTTCGTACATCCTTTGAAACTCAGTTTCTCACCATCTGCTCCAGGTGCTAGATATGTGGCCATGGATCCCCCTATTCTCTCCCTTTTGGAATGGGACTTTGTGCTCTGTGCCATTGTACCTTGGGATTATGTAACTTTTTAATTTTTATTTTTACAGAAGTTTACGGCTAACAGTTTGTCTTGAGTCTCAGAAAAGACTTGAACTTGTAAAAAAAAATGCTGGTACTTTTGAGGTTTTAGGAAAAGGACTATTGTGTTTCTGCATTCAATCAGGACAGTTGTGTTACATTAGCCAGAATTACAAATTTACTGTTGTCTTTATTTGGAGATTAAGCATGGTTTAAGGAGATGTGTTTAGGTAGCAAGTTGAAAGAGGTCTGATGTGGTTAGGCTGGAATTTCATCTTGACTGGCTTTGGACTCCACCCTGCAGGTTGGTGAGGTACACATTTAGGTGTGTCTGTGCGCGTCATAGAGGTATGGCCTTGGGCTCTATGTTTGGCCCCTTGTCCCTTCTGCTTTGCAGTCTTCTCTCTTCTCTTTCCCAGCTGCCATGAACTAAGCAGCTTTGCTCCCCACACCTTTTGATTATGATGTCTCTGCTTTGGATCAGCTGATCTTGGATTGAAACCAGGAGAAATTTAATCCTGTCGTCCTTTAAGTTGTGGGTATTTGCATATTGTGTCTCAGCAACGAGAAAACTGACATACATCCTGAAGAATTTTTGTGAAGAAAGAGTCTTTATTTTCATTTTTTAAAAAGTTTTTTAAGAGTAGGAAGAATTTATTGAGGGAAAGAAGGCTTCTGTCTAAGAGAGACAGAAGGGAGCCCAGAAAGTGGGTTAATCACCAGCCTCGCTTCTCAAGTGTGTTTTATTGAGTAAAGCCACAAGGTGAGGCAGGTTTAAGGTGGGATACAACTATAATCAATAAGATTATGAATATAGTCACTTAGATAATACTGATCCAATGGGAAATCACAAGGTAAGTGTAAGATGGGACAGGACTATGATGAACCAATAAGGTTATAAGTATAGTTGTTTATTTTCCTCTTTAAAGAAAATTTTTATTTGTACTGCTAAAGTCATCATCCCCTTTAAGAAAGACATATCCTTGAAAAAAAATTTTTTTGTGACAATAACTTGCTATGTAGATCAAGCTCACCCCCTGGGCTGGCCTCTGACTTCTACTTCAGCCCCCCGAGTGCTGAGGTTATAGACTAGACATATATTACTATAAGCTAAGATTCGATTGTGGACTTGGGTTCATGTTGCTCAGAGGTAGAGCATCTGCTTAGTGTATGTGAGTGTGAGACCTTGGCTTCTATCTTTAACTAAATATTACGGCATGTGTGCACATCAGGTATAGAAATGTAGCTATTATTGAATAGTTATTTTGTTGAAGTTTTAAAGACAGCAGTAGTCATGATTTAAGGTTTTTGACTAGTAAATTGCCGGGTACAATCACTCTTCACTGGTAATGATAGATTTAGAATTACACTGCTTTTCAAATATTTGCATATTTGCTATGTGCAAAACTTGTGTAGCAGGAAGCATAGATTCCTGGTTTCCACCATGCCCAGCTTCAACCCTTTTTTTTTTTTTTTAGATGGGACCTCCCTAAGATGCCAGGCTGTCTTAGCCTATTGGTAGCAGGGATTTTAGGTGTTGGCCACCACACCTGGCTTGCTGTCAGTTTATATCAAGGATTGACTGAACAGTGAGGTACTGTCAAAGAGAATGAACAGATTATACTACAGGTGACACTGTGGATCAGATTCATAAACATTATATTGAATGAAGCAAAATAGATACAAAAGAGTATGTGTTTGTCCTTTTAAAAAATTCAAAACTGGCAGAACACAGCTATGATGTTAGATCTTAAGATAGCTAAGATAATAGCCAAGTGTGATGGCGCATACCTGTAAGCTCAGAATTCTGGGAGGCCAAGACAGGAAGACTACAAATTTGAGCCCAGCCTGGACGATTTAGTGACTTAGGAGACCTAGTCTCAAAGTTTTAAAGGGCTGGGAGTGTAGCTCTTTGCAAAGGGCCTAGGTTCAATCTCTAGTATCAAAATTTTAAATCTGTCTTTTAAGTTCCTTAGTATAAAATTCTAAAATAATATTTCACAATAAATAGCAGTTGACTAGTGATATAACTGTTATTGTCAAATAGTATAATGACACGGCTAGTATTGTCTTTACTTTTTGAAAAATTCTTAGTGTTTAAAGTACATTTTCATTTTTTACTCTCCATCTTAATGGTAACTGAGAGGAAGTAAATACCTCATTCTAGACAAATAGTCTTTTGGTTTAAACTGTCTTTGTATTCAGAAGCTAGGATTGTTAGAATCCCACTTTTCAAATTCGGCATCTTCCATCTTCCATGAAGTCTTTCTTCATTTCTTTCCCCTAATTTAGTGAACCTCCTCTGAAGGCATGTAGCAAGTATGTGCCTTTCTTAAAGCATTTACAGTGTTCCATTGTAGTTTTTAAACAATTCCTGGTTTTAAGAATCTAGCACTTAAAAATTGTCACTATTTTTCTGTACTCATGCTAATACTGAATCTTGCAATTGTATTGCATATGGTAAATACTGTATAACTTTTTATCTGATGAATTGCCTTGTTTTAACCTAATATACCATTTTATAATTTAATTTTGCATATGTAATTTTCTCTGTAAATTAAAGATCTGTAATATACAGATTTTTTTCTTTTCCATATTTTCTTCTTGACCATTTTTCATTTATGAACCTTCAGTCCCTGTTATAAACTGTAATTCTGTAATATTTATTCTTTACTAACCATATTTATTCTTTAGAACAGGAAGAAATCTACAAAACAAAAACAAAATTCCAAGCCAAGTAATTTTTTTAACACTGTAAAGCTATTATTTGCTACAAGGAAATGGGTAGGATATTTTTTGTCTTACTTAGCTAATGTGAAAAAGGACATAGATATGATTGGGTCATTTTGAATATGTTTGCCCTGTATTGCAGTAATTCTGAGTCCATCTTCTACCCCTTTCTTTACAGCTCTTCCTCTTTTAGGCCTCTTAAATGCTGTTGGCCTTACAAATGTGTGTGGAATGGGATTTGCCCTAATAACAGTGTCTTACTATTTCTCTTTCCCTAAATATGTATCCATATTTTAAAGAGCCAATGATTTACCTTGAGGCACTTGACTTTTACTAGGGTAAAAGTCATTTTATTTGTTATGTATTTATTTATTATGTTATGTATTAGAGAAGGCTGTGTTTCTATATTAGAGTGGGGAATCTTAGAGTTGCTGCAGTAATTTGCAGTTATCTCTATCATTATAATAATGTATTATTTTCTGTGAGAAAATTGAGGGCTTGCTCTTTATATTTTGTATACCTGAATTTTGTTTGGTATTACCATATTTGTGTAATTTTGTGAGATGTTTATTATTTTCATTTCACAGATGAGGAAACTGAGGCTTGGTGAAGTTACGAAATTTGTCCAAAGTCCAAAGTGATACAGCTTCTAACAGGTACAGCCAAGATTCAGAGTCAGGTCTGTCCAACTTTAAAATTTAATCATGGCTGTGACACTTTGAAATAGTTGTGAAATGTTAATCTATAATAAGTTATATTGGTCTTAATATTGCTTAATGTTTGGTTTTTGTTTTGCTTAATTGTATTTAACACTTATGGATTTCACTGGTGAAGTTCTTTTATCCTGCATAAAATTTCATTTATCTTGTATTGTGAAAAATAGTGTAAAAGTTTGCATTCTGGAAATAGACCATCTGGGTTCCTATCTGTAAGTTGGTGATAGTACTATAATGTACCTGATAGAATTGTTGTGAAGATTACATGACTTAATATATACAAAACACTGTAATACTGACTGGAGCATAGTAGGTATTTAGTAAGTGCCACGTACAAGTATTATATCTTAGCAGCTAGCAAAGCAATTATGGTTACTGTTATTTCTTTGTCAGACAATTTAGATAAAGCAAAGTTTGGGTAGTAATGTAGAGTATCACAAAACTTACATAAACCAAAATTAAACTTGAATAAATTAGACCTAGAATAAATTTCACCAGGTGTAGTGTAAAACAAATTGGACAACTATTTATAAGTCTCATGTGGATCACGGACTTTATAAAGGCCGTATGTAAGTGCACTAAAGAACACACATTGTTACAAATGTAATTTCTCTGTTATCTTTGATAGTGCAGCTTCAAAATAAAATGTCTAAATTTTTCAGGTGGCTTTTAAGGAGGTAGTGTTTTAGCAGCATTGAATGATAATTACTAGGAACCAAAACTATGTTCTGTAAAATGTTGGCAATATTTCACCACTTGCAAGAGTGATAATCAGAAGTTACGTTACAATGAATGAGCACACTGATTGACCTTTAAATCAATAGGGTGATAATATATTCAACTAGAATTCAACCATACTTGTTTAGTGTAGCTGTCAGAATTCTATAGCACCTTTTCAGCTTTAACTCAGATATAATTAAAGTAAAATACATGTCAGTGAATAGTATATATCAGTTGCTAAATTTATGCCATGAATGGAAGATAATTTTCCAAAAATTATCCAGTTTCTAAAAACTCAAAAGCTATTATTTAAGGATAGATTTCATTTTGTATTTGAGTCCATGATTCCTACAGCTTTAAGAGAAACCAGGAGATATTTACGCTTGTGTTTCTCATTTCCCTGACACATTTATGATCTCAGGGTGCATCTGTTTCACAAGTGACTGAAGTTTATCTTTCTTTATGGCAGAGTAGTATTCCATTATGTGTAAATACTACATTTATTTATTCATTCATTGATGGACATATAAACTGCTTCCAAGATCTAGGTATTATGAATTGTGCTTCTATAATCATGGATAGGACTATATTTCTGTAATGTTTTTAACTCTTTTGGGAAGATACCTAGAATGAGAATACCTGAATCAAAGGGTTTTGGTTTTTTGAGCCTTGCCAGAATTTATTGTTATTTGATTTGTTGATGATGACCAGTCTTTCTGGAGAAAGATGGGATCTCCGTGGTTTTTAAGTTTTGGTTTTTCATATGTTTATTGGCTATACTCCCTATAATGTCTGTTCATTTCAATTGCTCATATTTTTACTGGATCTTTTATTTGGGGGGCTAACTTTTTGAGTTCCTTAATATTCTAGATATTAGTCTTCTGTCTAAGGAATAGCTGGCAACTAAGATATTTTAGACTATCAAATGAAGTGAACTTGGGTTGCAAATATATAGGGTGCCCTAGTAATATTCGCAGCCTTTTAGGAATACTGGTTGTGTTTAGCAATAGGGAGGCGTCTTAGAATGGGTGTATTTCTACTGTTTTCCCTGAGGATGACACTGGGTGTAGGGAGTGCGACCCGTATGCAGAAGATCTCTGTTAGATTGCCCTGGGGGCTTCTAGTCTCTTCCAAGAGACCATCAAAATTCAACTCAAGTTTGTAAATTAGAGGTCTCCAGGACAAAAACAGTTTTATTGTGCCACTGATTACTTCGTGATTCTTGCTTTCTCATAGGTCTTGGTCTGGTAATTCCTTTGCCATCTTGTCAGCTCTTGAATGCTTCTAAGGTTTTTTTTTTGAAGTAAAATTTTATCTATCATAGTGAAAAAAACTGAATAATCTAGCATAGTGTATTACTGAAGTGTTATTTTCTTCTTGTTTTTTTTTCTTTTGATGATTCTTTTATATGCTTGTCATTTACTAAATGGGATTGGTTTTTTCAGTGCTGAGGATCAAACCAAGGATCTTACATAATACTAAGCACCCTCTACCTGTAATCTATAGTCCCCAGCCCTTATTTCTTAATATAAGCATTTGAAGCTATACATTTAAAAGCATGAATTGGAGTTTTTGTTGTACATATTTAAACTTTAAAATTTTCTATTATGGTTAGTTCTTTATGCCATGACTTATGATCCACAAGTCATTTACATGTGTATTTGTAATGTTTGAGATATGTAAATTTTAAAAGATGAATCTTTGTTACATTTATCTTTAAAAACAAGATTTTCAATTTGAATTACAAAGCAAGACTCAACTGTGTGCTTTTTAAACATATTTGTATTAGTGACCAATGATTTATATTATATTAGTTAAGCTTGTTCTAGATAGACCAAAAAATAGTGTTTCCTACTTTAAGCAATTTGGAGAATTTAGTAAATGGACATTGAAACATCTGATGATGTTTAAGGAAAAGTTAACCACTGGAACAAAAAAGTAACTATGAAATATAAAGCCCTGTGAAGGAAGTGAGTAGTATAGTAATTATGGAGGATGGTACAGTATTTAGAAAGTGGAGAAATAAGTATTAGTGAGGTAACCTTTAAATTGAGACTTGATGTATGAGGGGAAAACAGAAGCACTTGGAGTGTCTGGGAGAAAAACATTTCAGGGAGAGAGGAAGAGCAGGCCCAAGTGGACACTGAAAGAGTAAGTTAAGGGAAGCGTCCCCTCAAGGGAAGACTGTCAGGCAGAGGACGTATGTTACTACGCTAATATTTTCTGGGCATTATTATAAGCACTTCTTGAATAGTTTAAATTATTAATCCATACTGACAAAGTGCTGAGAGTTTGAATTTAATTCAAAGATGCATTCATTAGAAAGCCATGGAACTATTAAGTAGTGCCGTGACCCCATTTTTACTTTTTTTATTTGTTTGTTTTGTCTTTTTTTGAGACAAGGTCTTGCTGTGCACTTCTGGCGGGTCTGGAGCTCACTTTGTAGCCCAGACTGCTCTCGAACTTGCAGCAGTCAGCCTCCTAAATGCTAATTTTTACATTTTTTTTAAAGGTTACATGACCATGGTATAGACAGTTGGTCAAAGAGGAACAATGGGAGACATAGTGATAAGTCCTAGTTGCTGGTTATAATAGTCCTACAAGAGCAAATTGTCTTAGACCACGGTGATTCTGGTAGTGGAAACAGGAGCAGTGAAATTGAGATATATTTCAGAAATATTTGGCTGATGGCATGGATAAGGGAAAGGGAGAATATGTTAGAGATGATTAAAGAATTGAAGAAATGATATGTGTAGATGGTTTGCCAATTTACTTATAAACAGAGACGAGCAGAGATGTTTTTAACTGCTTTATAAATTTTTTAAAGTTTCCGGTGGCTTTTCTTCCTCTCTCCATTCTTCTCTCTCTCTCTCTCTCTCTCTCTCTCTCTCTCTCTCTCTCTCTCTCTCTCTCTCTCTGTCTCTCTCTCTGTCTCTGTCTCTCTCTCTCTCTCTCTCTCTCTCTCTCTCTCTCTCTCTCTCTCTCTCTCTCTGTCTCTCTCTCTCTCCCTTCTCAACCTCTCATTTTTGGAACCAAATTATTTTTGTTCCAGTCTGCCTCTCCAGATTCCAGCACCTTTTTCTCATCCCACACTTGACAGATGCTTAGAGGAGGAAAGCCAGTGTAAAAGTAGGCTAACATTCTCAGCAATTTTACCCTTTCTCATCAAGATGTTCCTTGCTAAATCAGTCTTTGCTATCAGACCAAAATTATTTTGTTCTATAAGTAGGGATTGAATCCTAAGAGTAATATTATTCTAATGAAGTCAGTCTGCAGATATATGTTCTTAGGGTTCTGGGTGATGACCATATGGATTTTTATCTGTAAGAAATACAGGATATTACTCAATCACAAATTCATTTCACCATTTTTTTCTCAGTTGAAAGGCAAGTGACCAAAGATAAAATTAGTTTTGTAAATATAAGAATAACTTCAGCAGGGATGCCTTTTTTAAAAAAATATTTGGAGGTGGAGGCAAAGTATCCTAGTTACTTTTCTCATAGCTCAGAGAAAATACCTGACATCCAAAGTTAAAGAAAGAAAGGTTTATTTAGCTCACAGTGTATAAAGGTTTCAGTTCATAGTTGGCTGGCTCCAAGGCAGGGTGGCATGCCAGAGAGGCATCCCAGAGGATGAAGAGTCCACGACAAAGCAGGGCAGGCAGAAAGCATACAGCAACAAGCAACCCACAGCCTTCTTCTATCCCTTATATGTTATCCAGCCTACCACCCTCAAGACGGTTATCACTCACACCTATGAGGGGGCACCCTTAATTCTGCCAGAACTGTGCCAAACCTGTCAGTGGACTAATTCTACAACCTTAGTAATTATACAACCTTAATCCTAGCGTCATGCACTCTAAATGTAGCTACTTCTGAAAAAGCCCCACTTGTGATTGCAGCAGGCTTTAGGATGACATCCAGATACAAGCCATAACGTTTTGCCTCTGGCCCTCTAAAGACTCATGTACATCCCTTCATGCAAAGGGCATTTTGTCCTTCCCTAAAAGTTGCCAGAGTCCTAACAGTTTCAGCATTGCTGAGAAGTCAAAGTCCAAAGTCTCTGAAATGTAGGGCACATTCTAAGTTTGCAAGCCCCTGTACAAATGAAAAGAAAATTAAACATTTTAGCACAAAATAGAATTTCCATTCCAAAAAGGTACAAATAGGGAGATACAAACGAACGTGACTAAGGCAAATCCAAGATCCAGAGCAAGAACTAAGTACAGCGTCCAAAGCAGTCT